TTCTAAAAATTAAACTCTATTAATTTAAAAATGAAGTTAGTGGCAGAAATTAAAACTCAGTTTGGCTCTAGTGAGCACAGAGCATCAATTAGTGTTCCTCCCATGGTAAAAGGACAGAAACAAGTTTTTGCTACTTTTTGACACCATAATGGGCTCTGAAATGCCAAAGAGTGTGCAGAATTAACAAAGACCTTTATTCCTATCTTGACATTAGCATTGCAAGTTGCACATAGCTTAAAAAGAAAATATTTATCACTTTCTCCTCAGTTTACCGGTTTTATCAATAAAGGTGGCAGAATACAAGATATTAAAAAGACTTTCCACAATAAGAGGTTTAGTTTTAACCTGATGAAAATAAATGAAACTCAATTCCTTATCAATTAGAAACATGTTAAGATTAACAAGCACTTCCTAAGTCATGAGTATGATCTTATGTGCATTACATGCATTACTTAACTGAATCCTCAAAATAGCTGTATGAACCAAGTGCAATCATTATTCCCATTTTACAGATGAGGGAATAATGGCTTAAAGAGTTAAGTAAATTTCCAAAGATTGAGGATCCAGATTTCCAACCAGTAGGTGGATTCAAAGCCTTTGTTACTGTGCCAGATTGCTTCTCAATTCTGGGAAAGCTGGTATAAAATTTATCACAGAGAGTATATTTCAATCATTTTAAGCAAGAATAGCCACAACAATGGAACTAAGATAGAGTACTAAGATATATAAAAATGCTCCAGTTTTTGTCAGTCTGGAATAAGATTCTGAGTGAAGATTTTTATAAGCCTTAATGCTATCTTAATGTTATCTGTGCAGAAATGTGTGTACATGTTCATGTGTGCTCATGTACATGTGTTTGTGTATTATGAGAAAGACAGAACTAGAGAGAGAGGGGAGAGCAAGGGAGATTTTAAAACTTTTTTTTAAAAAAACCTCCTTGTATTAATTCTGAGTTATAATAACTTGAACAGGTCACCAAGGTACCACAACATAACTTCTAACTGCTACACTGAGAGAGATTTATAAAGCTATATATCTCATGTCTGCCTTCTTTCCAATTTACTCAGTGTGGAAAATGACATTGGCCTTCCAAAACCCTAACTTATGTTTGGACCCTTTCCATCTTTGAGTCTTATTCTAGTGCTGCTGACCATTAAAATGAATATTTCAGTGGGGCTGGAACACTCCTATTAGCCCAAGCCAAGCTTTATATGGCTTGTGCACTTTAAGAGGTTAATCTAGCCAGCCAACTCACTTTGTTCAGAAGTATTAAATGGAAAGACTGTAAGATTCAAAGAGAGGCAAAGTTCACTGGGTAAGACCCCAGTAATATAATGGAGCATAAAACCTCTAGAATTTTTTACCATAATATTTTATGAAACATATGCACACACTCACTGCAACAGGATCCAATTCAAACGGTTTTGAAGGTCAGTTCAAAGTCACCACATATGCAGTATCTTTGTGAGAAATATGTACTATTTCAAAGTTCCTGGACCCAGAAGCTTCCTTTCCCTATTTTATAGTTTATTATCAGCCCAGCAGTATACTATATTAGGGGAAAAAGTCACCCACTACAGCATGATATAATTTGCAGCCAAAACATGAAGTTTAGTAAAATATTCCAAATTTCAGTATCCACAAATCCTTGTGTTATGGGACAAAAGGAATCACAGAGGGTAATTCTAAAAGGAAGTGCTACTTTAAGGGGGGCAATAAATATAAAAATTAAAAACAATTATTTTATTTCCAGCTTCACAACCAATTATGAAAGCCTTTGATGTTCCTTGTTGTGCAAGGAGCAAAAGTCTCTCAACTCCTACATTTAAAAGAAAAGTGAACTAGGAATGGGCCTGATTAGAGCCAACTATTTCTATTCTGATGTTTTTTCCAAAATGCCCCAATTCTATGAGCAACTATCATTCTCCTAAGGGGAAGGAAGTAAAGGTCCACTTTGCATGACGAAGGTCAGATTTCTGCAGGCAAACGAGACTTCTATGGTTGACTGTTCCTAGACTGTCACTGTGCGGCTGGGTCCTAAGAGGTCAAGAGAGGTTCCAAATTGCGCTCACGGCTCAAGGGATACCCCTGGGGCCATTTTAACCATTTGAAGGTCATTAGGACTTTGCTTACTCTGGTTCCAGCTTTTCTCCCTTAAATCCTGCTAATACATATTGGCAATTCGGTACCACCGTTGTAGGTTAAAAAGAAATTCAAAGTATTTGATATTACATGCGGATCAAAAGATAGAATCCACTTTATTTAACAACTTCTTTTAAATCTAAGATTGAATCAGTGAAACAGAGGAGGATAATCAGACCCAAATAGAAAAAGCTTGACTGTATTATGGCTGTCCTGGTATTTACACTATGTGATCAATGCTGCGTTCATTTAATACAATTTCATTTAATATGATGTAGCTTTATGTGAAAATTATCTTAAACCGTTTCCCCAATCATCACATATGTTTAATTATGGTAATAGTTTACTGTTTACTTTTTTTGTAATAACTATTGAGCCACTAAAATATAGCAAATGCTGAAGTAAAAACTATTATTTGACTGTATTTCAATGCTCTTCTATTTAGTGCAAATATATGTCTAAACTTTCTCACAGTGGATTGGATTATATTTATAAAATTCGGAAGAGTTCCACCTATTTGTAATTAATGAAGGGTATCTCTAAGTATTTTAGATAATGTGTAGGGAACATCTGTATTTAATTATATCACAGTTTTCTTAAGACAATAGAAATTGAATTAAGGAATATTTTGAAACCGCGGTAGAGATATAAAAGTATTAATGGCTGTTCACAAACTTTATTGCTGCAATGCTTGAAAATGTTTGGATTTACACATCAATAGCCTGACACTTCATAAATATCAGATTTTCAATATAAAGGGAAGAAACAAAATATCAGGCAAATACAGAAAACATACCACTAGAAAAGACAAGGGCTGTATCTTCTCATTATTATTATATATCATATAGACAGAAACAGAAAATATCTTTCATATTAATACAGATTTGAATAAAATTTTGTAACATATATCCTGAGCAGGACTTCTTTTTGAATTTTGTTGTGGATTGAGAATTTCTACAATAATAAACTAATGGCTTGCTATTCATTCTTCACAGAAGAAAAATCCTAAGCTGTTCTCATGGAAACAGTGAGACACAAGTATGGGTTTTCAGTACTTGTTCTTAAGTATTGAAAAAGATCAGGTTTTCTTTCTAGATGCTTGTTGGTTCCAAATGCCACTTCTTTTCAGAGTCGGTGTCAGTTCTGCAGTCAGTTTTCAATCTCCCAGTGGTAAGAATATATTCAAAGGCTGTGTGCACAGCAGGGTAGAAGTCTTTCTCTGTGAATGTAACTATATCACTCATCACTAACCTCCCGCCATGAGGGGACTTGTGTTTTCTTTCCTTTTAGTGACTCCTTGGGCTCTTGAATGCCAGTCACTGCCCTGAGACCTGGGGCAATAGTCATATAATCTCTGTCAATAGTTCCTGCACATGCCATTGGTGCAACTAAATGTCAAGGCTGCAGATCAAAGTCCCCACATTCTAAAACTCATGTCCTTTATGGATCAATTTTCTCAAACTATACTCTATGTTTTAGAAATACATGGAGACTCACTCTTTGCTTTCTTCCTTTCATTCCAGGGAAGTTTATTTACACAAAAGGCAATCTGATTTGTAAATAATAGTGTGAAATTTTGATGCAATACATAAAACTCATTCTTTCCTTTGCATAGCCTTCTACTGAAGTATTTTACTGCACCTATGGACTTATAGTAGAAATGCAAAAGTCTTTGGGTGATTAAAATAAAGACTCACAGATTGTTTTGCAATACTTGACCATCCTTTCCCAGTGCCTGGTACAATATGGGCTAGATGGTAGGTAAAAAACTCTTACTCAGGATTGATTTTATTTTTAAATCTTCATTATGCTATAGGCAAATTATATGACAGAAAATAGCTTCAGCATGTGTTTTTTACAATCTATATGCATTTTAACTATTCAAAATGGCTTGGGAAAATGAATATAATTATTTGAAATCATTTACACAAATTACATAGATCTATACTTCTCCAAGTAGACCTGAGTAAAATACAATGGACCAAATTATCTTCCCTAAAGACCTTTTCAGATCAATTGTGGATATAAAAATTTTTAAATTTACAACTTTCTGTAAAGAACTATATTTGAAAAACATCGTAAGATTTAGTACACAAATGCTACTTATGCTGATATCTAGCCAAAGTTTAAATATATTTATTATAGAGGTAAGAGCATATAACAAATTAAATATGCACATATCAGAAGGCTAAAACAAAGAAGATGGGAAAATAAATACAGGCCTTACAGCCACAGAGCTGTTTACTAAATTCTAAATAGAAGCTTCATTGTCCTAGTTCCCCTAAGCAAATTTTAATATAATTACAGGAGATTATTAGCTACAAAGCTTTACCCTGAGATCTACTGTAATCTGTGAGACATTAGGCAAGTCACTTACTCAGATGCTAACTTTGGTCTTATGTGTTTTAATAAACAATTAAATTTAAGGTTTTTTAAAAGTGTAAGGAAAAATAGTTTATGATGTCCATTTTTGTAGTAAATGGTTGAGGCTCAACAGAAATCAGATAAACGGAGGAAATTAAAGAGTTCCTCATTAATGGAGAAGATTTAAATTTCCTGAGAAATAAAATTTCTGTTTCCCTTAATCTATTCTTTATTGCTAATAAGAAAATAATTTCTCTAAAATCCAAATGTGATAAACCTTTAAATTCAAAAAGCTTCTTTGGTTATATACTGAATCAATTGATGTAGAAATAGATGTGCGCACACACATATATTTGTCTACATTGAGGGTGGATGTGAAGAGGCCATAATAGTTATGATTCAAATTCTGTGACTTTCCTCTAGAGGGATTGCAAAATGAAACTACAGGTATGTTATGGAAGAGCAAGTGGAGTCCTCTTGTTAAACCAACTTACCAGTTTTTCGAAGGGGGAAATCGTCCTTTGCATCTTGTGCTCCTGGTAATGTATATTTGTAGGATGGAGACGTTCCACTCAGGGGTGGAGAGCTTTGATCCAATGACGTGTGGTGGGCAGCCCTACACAAGAAAAAGAAGGTTCACCATTTGCACTGGAGTTTTTACTGCATGTTGGTCAGCAATAATCAGTTACACATGCTGTAACATGTGTCTCAGCTGTGTTTATGTTCTTTCTTTTTAGTGTGTACAAACCACAGCCTCATGTAACCAAGTTCACTGTTGAGCAGTATGTTATGGAATGATGCAGGATGCGTCAGAATGCCCGCTGTGTGTTTGGTCACACGATCACATAAAAAAGTTCGCTTCACTAACAGAGAATTTACCAAGAGTCTGAGTTTTGATATCTGAGATTATTGTGTATGTTTTTTTAAGAGTCATACTAGTGGAAAATTCATCATCCGAATCCTTTTTAGTCAACGATGTAGAACAACCAAGGTAAAAGTAAACATACAGAAGGACTTCATTTGTAAAAGTTGCTAGGTAGTACACAAAAGTACATGAGGGTAGCTTTTCTACTGAAGAGAGGGTACTGTGCCACCAGCCTCAGGTCTCCTAAGTCTACAGAGGTTCCAAGGTAGACTGGAGATCACATCCTTCTGCTGTATGAAACTGATTTTTAAAAATGTTTTGTCTTTCCTGCGTTAACATAGTGAAAGAGATGCAATGTGTTACTGGAGAATAGTTTACAGAACTGAACGTAGACCACCCAGTGGATATAAATAACCATAATTATCATATACGAAGAAAACAATGGACAGGGCATAGTATCACCACCACAATGACTATTCTATCATTATTACTTATTTGAATTATACATTCTCAAGAATTAATTGGTTTAAAGATATTTCATCTAGCTATAACTTGAAAAAAAGTATTAAATTCAGATGCCATAAATTAATAATTTGTGGTTGTCTGGAGTTGGACTCTACTGAAGTTCAATTCAGTACCAAAAAAAGATTTCTAATAACATTGAGAGCCATGTTTAATATACCCAAGGGAACAGCTAAAGAATTTTCAGCTGACAAGTTGTTTGCATGTAGTTGTTTCCCACTAAAAAACAGGTACAGTAGTTCCTAATTATCCACAGGAGATACGTTCCAAGACTCCCAGTGGATGTGTGAAATCGCAGATAGCACCAAACCTTATGTTTTTTTCCTGTACATACACACCTATGATAAAGTATAATTTATAAACTAGGCATAGTGAGAGATTAACAACTTCTCTTCTGCATATCTGAATTGCCAGCATCACTACTCTTGCACTTTGGGGACATTATTAAGTAAAATAAGGGTTACTTGAACACAAGCACTGCGATACTGTGACAGTCAATTTGATAACCCAGATGGCTACTAAGTGACTAATGGATGGGTAGTACATATAGCAAGGATACACGGGAAAAAGGGATGATTCACGTCCCAGACAGGACAGAGTTGGATGGTAGAAGATTTCATCATGCTACGCAGAACAACATGCAATTTAAAATTTATGGATTATTTATTTCTGGAATTCTCCATTTAATATTTTTGGATTGAGGTTGACCGCAGATAAGTGAAACCACGAAAGTGAAACTGTGGATAAGGAGGGACTACTGGATTATCTCTTCTTAAAACAGGATTTCACTTAGAAGAAATATGAATTAGTTATAAATTATGTATGTAATTTTAGGTAATAAAACAGTATTTCTTTTCAAATAGTGATGTTGATCGAACATTTGAAAATGTTCTTCAGGGATTGGCTTCTTAAGTCAACTGACATGCATGATAAAAATTATGTAAATAATAGAAAAGTATTTATAAAGCATTCTGGAATTTGCTTCAGTTGCCTTTTTTTGGATGCCGAGGGGGAAGATACTTATAAAATAGAATTACAAGAACAATAACTCTTTAAATAGAACTCCTGGGATGCTTACAATTTCTGAGTAATCAAGTATGCACTCCCTTATCCTTATGATGTGAGAGATTAAAAAAATATGAAAGTGTGGAGCCAGCCCAGTGGCGTAATAGTTAGGTTCACATGCTCCACTTCAGTGACCTGGGGTTCGCCAGTTTGGATCCCAGGTGCAGACCTACACATCTTCAAGCCATGCTATGGAGGCATCCCACATACAAAATAAAGGAAGACTGGCATGAATGTTAGCTTAGGGACAATCATCCTCACCAAAAATACATATGTCTATATGAAAGTCTAAAATCTTGTGGTCATTCAGCAACCATATTTATAAAATGAGAGAAATAAAACTATTATCTGTTAGTCTACTATCCAAATATGCTTTGCCTACAGTTTTTGTCCTAATTTTTAAAAACTATCCAAATATGCTTTGCCTACAGTTTTTGTCCTAATTTTTAAAAACACCACATCCTTCATATTTTATAGAAGAAGAATTGTGTATTGCACAGTATGTCTTCACTGGACTTGGGGAAACATGGTTCCATAAAAACTGTAATGCCACAGTGTATTATGTTGTCAGCTTGTGTGTCAGAAGCCAATCTACTCTCATTTTACTGGGAGGGAACAAATGAGGTGAGGTGGGCAGGAATGAACTAGTCACTGAAGACTTAGATTGAGTCAGTTATTTACCTCCCTTCTCTTCCCTTCTTTTCCCTCCCTTGCTTCCTTCTTTTTTTTTTTTAAATTGCATCAAAAATTTTCTGGACTTTTAAAAATAGCTCAGATCTCCATCTTATATTAAGCCAAGTAAAATAAAAGCTCAACCTGCCAAGTCTTCAGAAATTATTGTAAAGATATCAGATGAACCATCTGAGAAGAGAAAAATGCAAAATATGAATTAATTTCTATGCCCCATCCCACATTTGTCAATTATTCATTCAGCATAGAACATATGTACTTCTTTGCCCTCGAGATGATGCTTGCTAACGTTTATTACCCTACCCTCTGTTACATAGTTGACCACATCATCTCATAGGACCTTCCTAGCAATCCTAGAGGGCAGGTACAATTATTATCCTCTTTTGACAGAGAAGGAAACTGAGCCTTAGAGAATTCAAGGCACTTGCCCACAGCCCCATAGCTCAGAACTGTCAGGCCCCGAATTTGTGCCCAAGCTGGCTAAATACAGAATGTGTGTTCTTAACCGTTGGGAATGAGAACAGCCAAACACTGAACATACGTGTACCAGAGCTTGGGATGGCGGCTCACGGAATGATTTTTTCCATTAGTTGGAGTGTCTTTTGTTGCTGATTTACTCAAAAGGAATTCTTGAAGCTTCTGCTTTACTTCTGTACTTGCCACTGCCCCTGAAACATACACACGAAGAAAAAGATGTTGATTTGGGGTTTTTGTCCTTTCAAGCTTCTAGAATATTTACAAAAATTAAGAAGTAATACCGCTGGTCACAGTATATGAAGTTTTCCTATTAAAAGAAGAAATCAAGAGTCTAAACCGGATTTGGAAAATGGCATCATAATGTTTTGTAACCACTGCTTCAGCTGCCAATTTTCGAAAGACCTTCGATGATTTCTTTAATTGCTTTTGCAGAAAGGGGATTCCCAGAATTAATACCAATTTTTTTCTGAGCTTTAGAAAATATTGCTAAGGAACAAAACACTGCCTTTTAAAAATCAAAAATCTTGGGTGACCATATAAGTGACTGAACACATTAAAATTATCTTTTCTGAATTTCTAGTTTAAATAACTAACTTTAAAAAAAGGTTTTTTTGAGCATTAAACAAATAAATATTGCTGACAATTCCAGTTCAAGTCGTCTGACTTTAAACCTTGCTATGACCTGATTTTGAACTGACCTCATACAGGGGAATTATTTGGATCTGTCTCCCTCTTGTGGATAGTTTTTTTTTACAAATGTTCAACCTTAAATCTTCCCAAAGTCTGGGTACTTGAAAAATAAATGGAGGCAAGACTTGACTTACAGAGAAATTATTACTTGAGAAGGAGAAAAATATAGTGGAGAAATGTGGAAGCAAGTTTATTATTAAATAGGATGGCATAGCTAGAGTGCCTTAGTATTTAACATTATTTTTAAGGTCCCAAACAACAGAAATTAGTTTCTTCACCAAACAATGCTATGTTTACTTCTTGAGATGCTCTGCAGACTGAATGCAGACAGCTGATATGTGAATGTCAAAGCTTTACATTTGGATCCTTAATTTATTCATTTAATTAAGCACAGACAGTTTGACAAGTTTAATTGCACTCTTTATCAGGCTTCTTTCTGAGTGACGCTCAGCTACAGACGAGGGAAGAGATCCATCTTTTACCCTGGTGCCTCTTACTTTCTCGTCCTCTATCTTTGCCTCTGAGAGGAGGAAGCTGCTGTTCTCTGCGATGCCTCTCTACTTCCTGTTCTTGCCTCTGCTGCTCCAGTTTCTGCTCCTTTTCTAGAAGTTCTTGTTGCTGTTTTATGGCTAGAAGTTCCTGTTGCAACTTGCGAGAAGAGAAAGACATGAGAGTGTGCAATTTCTTTAGGCTTCATAGTCATCACTGACCAAAATCGAGATGTTAAGAGCTTCTGGAACTTATTTCTATTTATTTTACATTTTTACCCACTTTTTTTGTAAATTGTTGAAATCTAAAGACAAGTAAGTAATGCCATAGATGGTCTTAATGTCATCAACAAGCAAATTTTTAGGCAGCTTCATTACCTTTGCTGTCTTATCAAAACATTACCAAATTCATTCAGATCTTCAGTTCCCTGAGTAACTTTTCTTTGTACATCTGAAATATACGACACAGGCAAAGGCAGGAACATCCCAGACGTGTATTTTACAAAGTCTCTCACATTACAAATGAACAACTGAAATGTTCATTTCTCATGCTGAGAAATGGTATGAGAATAATCCAACTGAATAGAATGGAGAGATATGAGTTAATTTGGGGGAAGTCTACCTGAAATAGAATGAGTGCTAAAAATTTCAAAACCTTACAGAGAAGGTTCTCAATAAACTAATGCAGTCTACTTATCCATAATTAGGTCTTCTCTCAAAACAGCAAAGTCTAGTTCATTCATCCATCACACAAAAACCTTCTGATTAGAGAGACTGGTCAAGAAGAAATCACCTCCATTAAACTACCCCTTGATGCACTATTGTTTGCTGTCTGATTCCCTTGAACTCACTTTCAAATAATGACTATCATGAATATGAAGTGCTCTTAATAACTATTTTGAGTTGTCAGTTTTTCATCAGATTGAGAAATAGACATCTATGAATAATAGTAAATGTACCCACTAAGAATAAGTAAAAACTGAGTCCTAGTAGACTCTGACATTATGAGATATGAGATCTGGATAACTTACTAAACTACTCACAACACTGCTTGCTCATATGTAAGATAAATCATCTCCCTCACACATCCAGTTCATTATGTATGTGAAATTTAGTTTGTAAGTTTGAATCATACTAATTTTACTTAATATTATGGTTTTTAACTCTCAATACTAATGAAAGTTGTGTAAATTGCTGTTTATATTAGATAGGTACCTAAAACTCTGAAATTTACACTGAAAAGTTAGTAGAACAAAAATAAAAAGCTATGTGGAATGGCATCAGAGTCACTCTGGAGGAACAGGAAGCCAACTCTGTATGTCAAGCATGATGGCCTCACTACTTCCAGAAGGATATAGTCAGAAGCATTCCTGGTTACTCTTCACATTAAGATCTTTGGCATTTTGGCTTTGATATACCAGTCTCTTAATGAATGTTTTTAGATGTTCCATTCTAACAGGAAAATTTGTAACTCTGCTTAAACTCTGCCTTAAATATTAATACTATACAGACATTGGGGTTGCTCAAATTGATTCAGTGCTTCACCCAAGGTCCCAATGGAATTGAACTTTAATCTCTCTTAGGAATCTAGTAAAGCACACAATTTAATTTCCATAGCTACTATTTATTATGGAAGATTACAGGAATGAAGTTGAAAAAAACCGAAAGAAACAAAACTTCACCCCTCCAGTTTGAGATGTTCCACTTCAGGAGAGGGGCAGGATGATGTGGTAGCTTTGGAGACAGACGAGGCAAGACTACAAATTCTGCAGCACCCACCTATTGGCTGTGTGGCCTTGGGCAAGTTACAGTATTGCTCTCTGCCTCAGATTACTAGGTGGAAAAATGGGATAATAGCATGGAACTCAACAGATGTTGATTACAGAAGCCAAAGAATCAAAACACTAACGTAAATAAAGCATCATGCACTGCTTTTCCTCATAAAAATAAAATCTAAATGAATATTTAAAGCATCAACTTTTAGCCGTAACCATAAAAAAGTAAAACAAAATAAAATAAAAATTTTAAAAAGCTAAAAACTTCCTAAACTTAAAAGAAATTTTTAAGTATGTCTTTAGTTTCTGAGAAAGCAATTTATTACTTTAGAGAATCATTTCAAAAGCTAAAATTCCCCCTTTAGCTATCTCAGAAACTTTTTTCTCTCAAGAGCCTCCTCTTTTTCCAATATTTTCCAGATGTCAGTAAACCTACTATATTACTTTGTTGGGGCCAAAGTAATAATTAATTAGCTACTTGCTACTATTAACTTGTGAGTAAAACCAAACAATAAATCACTGAAGAAAAATTTTATATTGATCTTTACAACTACAAAAAGCATCCAACATAAATGAAGCAAGTATCTAAGGTAGTAACTTATCAGTATTGCCCAGTATTCAGGGCAATATGGCTCACGTACCACAGGAAAATGAACCATATAGTTACTTAAATCTTAAAGTACAAACAAAATCTTAAAGTATGAATCTTAAAGTTATGAATACAAATCTTACTCATCCATCATTTCCATCTTAACGTGCCTAGAATGAATGAAGGAGATCTAGACATCAATGCTCTTATTACTGTTTCAAAGGTCAAATTGAAATAATGCTTCAGAGTCATTAATAATTCTATAAACAACATAAAATAATTCTATAAACAAAATGAAGTTTTCCTATAGAGCAACATATAACCATCATTCCATATGGGACCAAAAAAAATACTCTTATTTTTAAGGTTTCTTATAGGATTCTTTTAGTAAAGTTCACTAGTAAAAGGAAAAAATTATTACATTTTATTTCAGGTATCAAAGAGCTTTTTTTTTGAAAATAAGATAAAATAGGTCTTCTAGGCTAAGGAAATATAAAACAAGGAACATAGAGAAAAAGATAGCATTTTTACCTTCTCAGACACTGTAATATTAATGTGGTAAATTTATATAATATTAACATAGATTAGTTATCTATATTAACCCCACATAAACGTTCTTCTACTTGATATGCAAGTAAGTAATAGATTGTGTCTATAATACAATATAATACAATATTCAATATAATAAAATATAACAGATAATTTATTGTATTAATAGATTATCATATACTTAAGTCATTTTTGAAGGAGTTGGACATAAAAATAGAATTTTTCATTACAAATATTTGCTGCCTTATATTACTATCACAATAAATTCAAATTAAACGTCTACTTAATCAGACCAAAATAGCTTTGTTTTAGATGTCTTTGTCAAGAAGTTGAAAGACATTTTACAAATAAAGCTAAAGTAATATTTATCTCTGAAGATACAAGAGAAGAAATAGATACACAGACCCATCTAAAATGATCTGATAATAAAATAGCTCCTCATAAAAAATTCTGGGACATGGACATACTTCTCCTAGAATAATTTAATGACTTGGGTCTCAAATTGTCAACTATTCTTATCTATAGTCTATTAGACTCATATAAAAACATCAAAAATGTCTGCATCAGTTTCTTCATATGTAATTTTCTCGAGCTTTTTACTGTGTTATTGCTCTGAATGTATACATTATGAGGTCCTTTCCATAGGACAACTAGGACATACTCAGGACATCTACTTAGTGACCAAAGACAAAGAAAAAAATAGGCTCTCTTAACATGAAGTGACTAATGTATCCTTTCTAGTAAATAGTATTTGCAGATTCTTTAGAAACATAAAATGGGTCTTCCCAGGCTCGTGGTTCTTCTTGGTACAGAGGAGATGGGGCAAATGAACAAAATCATGTAGAAGAGAATCTAAAGAGAGGGTGGGAAGTTACTATTCCCTACTATTGATGCTGTAAACTAAAGGCTGAAAGAGTGGTCAGGCCCCTCTCCAAGAAGCAAAGCAGATTTGTTGCCAGCATTTTTACTACTTACCCAAGGTTTTCACTAGTACAACCACAATTTCCTTCAGGCCATACATCCATGACTTATCACAGTGAAACTTCCCTCCAGTGCTCCCTCTTATGTCCAGGTCTTGGCTCACGCTCCCTAAGAGGTCACAGACAAAGAAACATTTGCTACCTTGATGTGCTCCTGAAGTTGAGCCTGGTGCTGCCGTGTCAAGTTCTCATGCTGTTTCTGAAACTCTGCAATCAGGAGCTGCTTCTGGATTTGCTGCTGTTGCTGGATGAGGAGTAACTCCTGCTGCAGTTGCTTCTCACGGACAACAGGGTCCACCACGGGCATCATCATCCTGAGGTCTGTCCTTAGGTCTAAAGGTGAGATGGGCTCCAGGCCCACAGGAACCTCTGATTTCACATCCACTGGAGAAACAGGGAAAATAAAAAGGGGAGGGACGACAGAGGATAGAAAATTAGCATATTGATTTGGAAACAAACAAACAAAAAAGGTACTATAGCCTGTACAACAAATTTTATGTTAACAAACCTAGTCTTTTTTTTAATAATGATGATAAAAGGTCTTTTGTACATCGGCTTTGATAAAATGGACCATATGCTAATTTTCACCCAGTAATTTGTACTCTGCCATGAATCTTCCCCATTTCCCTTTTTCAAAGAGGTAACTCCAATTATTAACTGGAATCAAAGTAATTTATCAAACTTATCCTACTGGACCTTACAAAAGTCAAGACAACTTAGGACAAAAAAATGCAATTCTATTGAGGAAAGATGTCATGTTATAATACAGAACTTCTAACAACCAAATTTGCACACATGTGAACATTTTTATTTGTAGTCAGTCAGAAGATACATTCTAAGCTGTACTCCTTAAGAAGTAAAGCTTTTAACATAATGCATTTGCAGGGGTGTTGGACCTGGCAAAGAAACAACACAAATCTGCATGCTAAAATGATGGCAATGGTGAGTAGATTAGGTAATCAACCACAGCAATGGCGCCAGGTCAAAACATCAAGGAGTAAAAATAGCTAAGTTTCCAGGTGCTGGGTTTTTTTTTTTTTTTTTTTTTTTTATTCTTACGTAATTTATTGCAAAGCCCCAATTAAACAAAACCTCAGGTGACTGGAATTTTCTCCTCACCATTCCTTTTTTTTTTTTATTGAGTTATTGATAGGTTACAATCTTGTGAAATTTCAGTTGTACGTTAGTCAGTCATGTTGTAGGTGCATCACTTCACCCTTTGTGCCCACCCCATACCCCACCTTTCCCCTGCTATCCACTAAACTGTTCTTAGTCCATAATTTTAAATTCCTCATATGAGTGGAGTCATACACAGATTATCCTTCTCTCGCTGGCTTATTTCACTTAACATAATTCTCTCAAGGTCCATTCTAGGTGCTGGTTTTTAAATGGTAATAATCTGTAGATCTGTTGCCTTATTCCTCAATAGGCAGAAAAACTGTGAGAAAGCTTAAAACAAGTCTTCAATCAAAACACTGGAGGAAGAAAGATTTGATGATGAAAATGATTATAGGATATTTAAATTTATAAAAATTAAGTTAGATAACATATAAAATTCTTAGCATAATTTCTATTAGATAACTTCTTGGAGTGGTAAAAGCACAAAAGCTCACAGACAGGGTACATCACAGAAATACCCATTATTTATGGCTGGGTCCACTCTGATTAGTCAGTGCTTACACCAAACTGTTTGTTAGATATTTTGAACATGACCCTTGCCCACAGGCATCATGAAAGTTCTGTAGTTGAATGAAACATGTTTAGTGAAAGACAATAGGGATTTTGGAAAGAAAACTGTGGTGAACTGGACTGCCTGGCTCTTCAAAGTGGTCAGCCATTACTGAGATCCAACCAATTATTGGTGGGGGAAAAAAGAAGAAAGAAAAGAAAGAAAATACAGACCCACTGTAGAAAGAAGTCACCTAATTAAATTTAAAAATAATTTAAAATATTTAAACGCTATAGGAACCAAAAAAAAAATAAATGCTTCAATAAGTCTACTTTTGACATGCAGGCTGCTGATTTTCAACCTCTGTTCTAAAATCTAAATGTCTGTTCCCACTCTTCTAATTGTGTTAACCTGAAGGTGTTATTTAAGTTCTCTAGGCCTCAGTTCCCTTAGATGTAAAATGGAGATAATTACAGTTTAACAGAAACAAGAGAGAGTTGTTAAAAGGACAAACGGGGTGATCTACTCAAAGACTTACAGCATACAGCACATCCCTCAATAAATGCTTTGGTTTTTTTCTATTATATAAAAATGGATACTTCCTGTATATTAAAATAAATCATCAACACTATGTATCTAACAAAACAAAAATATTAGGAGCAAGTATGAAAATAAAATTATATATGATTTCTATTAAATATTAGAAAATACAAACACTAAAACTTCTAGAAAAATGGGAAAAGAAAATAAGAGAATATAGTTAAACAATGCAAAAATATTCACCTTACTAATAAAGAAATGCAAATTTTAAATCAAAATAAGGCATCATTTTCTAATTATTAAATATTGTATGATTCATGTGTATGCATATGTGTATGTACAATGTTCCATTGTGCAGGGTAAGCATATGACCAAGCAGACAATTATATATTTTAAGTGGCAGGGCCAGTTGTTTAAAACTTCTGAAAAACAATTTGGTGATATGTATCAAGAGGCATTAAATATTTGATTTTAGTTTTCCAACTTTAGGAATATATCTTAAGGAGATAAAACCAACAGAGGAAGAAAGATTTCAATGTCACATTGTTTACTGAAGTAGTATTATTTAATTAAAATCATCAACAAGAATGGGGCCGGCCCGGTGGCGCAGCGGTTAAGTTCGCACGTTCCGCTTCTCGGCGGCCCGGGGTTCGCTGGTTCGGATCCCGGGTGCGGACATGGCACTGCTTGGCAGCCATGCTGTGGTAGGCGTCCCACGTATAAACTAGAGGAAGATGGGCACGGATGTTAGCTCAGAGCCAGGCTTCCTCAGCAAAAAGAGGAGGACTGGCAGTAGTTAGCTGAGGGCTAATCTTCCTCCAAAAAAAAAAAAAAATCATCAACAAGAAAATGTCTAAGTAAAATATGTCACTCCATTTGGTAGAGAAATAGGCAATCACTAAAAATGTTTATGGGAGGGGCCTGCCTGGTGGTGCAGCGGTTAAGTTCGCATGTTCTGCTTCGGCGGCCCAGGATTCCCCGGTTTGGATCCCGGGTGTGGACATGGCACCGCTTGTCAAGCCATGCTGTGGCAGGCATCCCACATATAAAGTAGAGGAAGATGGGCACGGATGTTAGCTCAGGGCCAATCTTCCTCAGCAAAAAGAGGAGGATTGGCAGCAGATGTTAGCTCAAGGCTAATTTTCCTCAAAAAAAGAAAAGAAAAGAAAAGAAAAAATGTTTATGAGAATATGAAAAACAGTGTTACAATATTAAATGAAAAAACTGTTAATAAAAGTGACATATACCCTATGATAACTCTTTAAACTAAATAAATATACTTAACTTAGTTGATATACACTTAATGAGAACCTTAAATTCTCAGGCTTGATTCTAGATGTTGGGGTTCAGTAGTAAAACAAAAAAGACAAAAATTCCAGCCTTCACAGAGCATATATTCTACTGGGGTTTTAATTATATTAGTTTCTGAATTCTAATAGCAAAGAGTGGTAAGATACAAAACAGAAGGTGGTTGTATTTTGGGTGAAAATAGGAATAATTTTCCCTCTTCTAATTTTCTATATTTTTCCAAATGGTATCTAATGCTCCGACTACTACTACAAGTAACTTGGATCTGCAGATTCCAGGTTGGGAACTACAGTTAATATTCCATGTGGAGTTAAGAACTATTTTCAGCAAGTCAAGAAAGCCTGAGAGAAATCCTGTCTATAGAAGTTAAGCCTGCAAACACTAAATGAAACATTAATGTCTTTGCTTATCATTTGAATTGTGTGTGTGAGCAGGCACGTGTGCGTGCGCCTGTGTGTAGGGGATGGGGGGGATACTGGTATCAAACTTGGATTGCTAACACTGGTTATCTTTCAATGCATTGATCAGAAGCTTGCATTGATGTTACTACATGTGTCACTTTAAAGAAAATGGTAAAACAATTTGTTAATAAACCATGGTTTGGAGGACAATGTCTTCTAAAACATGATTATTTGTGAAAGGAAAGATATTAATTGTGACGCGTTTCAAACTAGATGAAGATGACAGTGTGTAAGATCTCTTAGTTGCAGTGTCCAATGTAGAACTTTCAATCAAGGCTCGGGAGCAACATGAGATTTTGAGCATTAATTTATAGAGTTGGCATAATTCCAGCCAAAAGCAATGGCTGTTAATGATATATTTCATTTTTACATTAAAAAGCCCAAACTACAGCCTCCAATTTTTACATGGAAATCCCAATAAACAAAGGTCAGAATTTAACCCTATAACGACCAAATGTAAAATTTCAAGAGACTCTGGGGTCTCTTCTTGCTGGCTTTCTTATTATCCATAAACTGTAAACATCACATCCCTAAAAAACATCCCCTCTTCCAAAAAAAAAAAAAAAGATAAGGAAAAAAAAGTCCCAGAACTCTCCAAAACAGCTATTGTAAACCTCAAAGGGTAATTTGACTTCTTAACCTGCTATCCCAACAGAAATGATTGTGTCTAACTGCTTGCCTTTGTTCAGAGACTAATCACTAAATTGTGAAAAATCACCCTCAACTTACAAAAACTGCTCTTGATTATAAATAATTGCCCAAGACTGAGAGAAAGCGGCAGGCAAGATCCCAGTCTTTCATCCAATTTATTCAGCAGCAATCCACATTCCATTTGTCTAGACTAAATATAGCAGCGTTTATACAAGAAATCAATAGTGCTCACAGAGAGGAGAGCAAAGGCATGAATATTTCATCAAACTCAGAGAGAAATGGCAATCAGCAAACTGATGGTTCTGTGTAGGTCATCTTTGGACTGCTGGATTAGTTCCTGTTACTCGGACAATAGCTCATCTCTGGCTAATCATAATCATATCATTGCCATTCTTTCTATTTTTAACATTAATTGTATTGTGGGTGACAAAAGCTCGTCGCATTCCAAAAGGAATGATGGATTTTTCTTACATCTTCTGTGACAGGCTAATAAGCCTCCCCAGGAGCAATAACAGTAACACAATACCAGGGCTGAATTTCAACAAGTTACAGTCACTTTCATATCACCAAACGTGAAAGAAAGAGCATTGTCCACAGCTGCTGTATTACCACAATTAGAAATAATTAACTTACAAGGAAAAGTTAACAGCCTCTTTTAACAGTGGGGAAATGAATCATCCCTGTTCACAACATTTCTTGTCTACGAACATGCAAATTCCTTACAAATTCCTTAGAACAGGTGGCCAGTGATACAT